GACCTAGTTGTGAATAAGACAATTGACTCCCATCAATTTTTAATAGAATCTATAATAATGTAATAGTAAAAATACCTATTTCTATGCTGATTGATTGTAGAATGTTCATTTATCATCATTAGAACCTGCTGAACTAGTTACTACTTAGCTAACGACACACCTGCAGAATAACTGTAACGGTCGCCTACATACAGGAACAGCACGAATGATATCACGTTATCATGTGACGACCCTGGCACTATTCATACGTTGCTTTTCCGGAGGCCTGCGTGTGGACCTTGCCTTATCTCACCTTCCAACCAACACACTTCCTACAAAGCAAGCTGCTTTAACCGAGTAGCTGGAATAGATCAAATAGAGGTAACGCAGACAACTACGTATAAAGTCTATCTTAATAAAGTATCAAGATGACAAATCTAAGTCTAAACCATAATACGTAATGGTTGTACTAAGAGCAGTATCCTAACAAAAACTCAAATCTTATTTTACCAAGTGTAAACAATAAGACAAAATAGAACAACCACGTTATTTAATCTGAAACTGAAACCGCTCACCGAGGGACTAGCTCTGTTGTTTTTCACGTAGAGCAGATAGTACTTGTATGTAAGAATACTGTTTTTTGTAGTTTTCAACGTCAACAAGTTTCAAATATATTGAGTGCACTGTGGCGACAACTTTCCTATGGTATGTTCGGCTCTATTTTCCACATTTAGCCTCTCGTTATATAACATATAAAAGCAGGTACGGTAAATACATATACTTAGAGGTATTTACTGCTTACTTATAAATTTTGTATTCATATTTCATATTTCTTTTAATGTTTAGAAATCTAGATTTATCGAATCTTACCTAATTCAATCGTTAATGATACTTGGTATATTATTTGTACTGTGCGTTTTAGGATGAAGTACGTACTTATTATTTGGGAAACTAGTGGAATTTAAATCTCAGAAAAGTTACCAAGTTACTTGCTTATAATTACTTTATTCCTCACACTGGAACATAGAATATGTTCCAGTGTGAGGAATAAAGTAATTATGATGTTGAAATAATTGCCTATTATTGTACTTAATATAAAAAGTCGACAATACTCTATTGATATTAACATGTAGTTTTGTAAACATTCAAAGTTGTAGGCATCATAAAAATAAAAAATATATAGTTTACAAAAATAGTAATAATCCTAAAATGTAAAATATCGAAATCCATTAGTTATTCTATTTACACACGCACACTGTATCCACTTTAGATTATGTACATTCATAAGTTATGATGATAGTAACAACGATCAATTATCGAGTAAATAAAAATATACCAAATATTAAAATAGAAAATCATTCACAAGTAAATTATGGTGTACAGGTACTGATATAGAATTCCATAATAACACGGGCTCCAAATAACCATAATTGAAAACAATAAGTTTTCTGCTTATCTACTCATCAATATTACTAGTAAGGTTTATAGTGCTGAATCATTCAAAAGAGGCGCAATTCGATCTGTCTGAAGTTCTTTACTTTTATATTTTATTTACAAATATTTGTTTCAGTTTTATAAAAGTATATGCCAAATATTAGAAATAGATATTCATTCACAAGTCAGTTGAATTATAGTATAGTGACACTATTACCAGAATTCATTAATAGCACGTGCTTCAAACAACTATAATTGACTACAATAAGTTTACTACTTATCTAATGATCATAAGAAAATATATATAGTGCAGAGTCATTCAATCCGTGAGGCTAATTTTAAAACTTCATTCATTTAAACCTGTTACAGTTTCCAAATTACATTTTATGTTTTGTTCTTTTTGATAATGCGGCATGGTGTTAAGTCCGCTAAAGGTACTTCAAAATTATATACATTAAAGTTTAAATAAATAATTCAATCAGCGCCACGGAGTACCAAACTAAAAAGCTTATATACCATAGGTACTAAACTGTAATTAAAAATTCTTAAATCTTTTTATAAATACTTTAAGAATAATCCAGAACAATACAAAGAATTATATATACGAGTACAAATTCTTATATCGCGAGAATCGAACCCCTTATATTCGAAAGTTAGGTGTTATACTAAACCGGTCGGTACATGAGTCGAGTGACGAAGTATATTCTGAAATGTCGAGTCTCTAAAAATATTTGACCTATAGATTTCCATGTTATTTGTAGCATGACCCGTACTAAACCCATTCTCTCGTAGACTTTATAAAATCTCCGTCCACCTGAAACCCCCAAAAAAACCCGTAGTATACTTTAACACAATTTCTCTACTACATATACATTTGGGAAATTATGTCAAGCTTCATATTTTCGTACTAAGTGTTCAGTTGTTCCTTGATCAATCTGTTTTTACTTCTGTAAGGTTTATTTACGAAATTCTTTACCAGATATGCTGACTTCTTCTGACTGAGTGTGGTGACCGGTGCCTATGTATGCATGCATACGTCAACAATATCTTGGACGTCACCAGATAGATTGTAACGGTCGTGATATATTTGATGACAATGTGTATTGTGTTCTCATACCTGATGTTGATTATTATGACCTGATTATTTTGTTATGTCTCCATTCTCTGTAACATCACTGCCACCTTTAAAGCAAGTTTGTTAAGAATTAGTCTCAATAGCCGTAAGCTTAGCCTTTGATTTTAGGCTTTAAGTTGTAGATACAATATGACTAGCAACATTTTACAACTCTAAGTCAAACTTAAGTGATTGTTTTGAATATAATATCATATAATTATTTATTAATAAAATCAATAAAAATGTAAAATTAGAAAAGTATTCAAATACAATTATAATTATTGAAACCAAGCAACGATTGCGTAGGTGCTATAATAACAGCAATTGAAAACGCCTAGTAAACTATTGATTTATATCATGAAAATTATAGTGTAGCATTATAGAATCTAATCAGAGAATGAGTTTTGGCAAGTCAGAACAATAACTAGTAATTAACTAACGTAACGTGGTGAAATAAATGCCTATGTGTTTCAGTATGAGTGTTGAATAGGCATCAGCTTAATTAATAGTTTCACATTATCTTGTAGCGTTTATAAATAGTCTAAAGAGATTACTTGCTGTTTCTACTATATACCTATTTGTGACTTTAAGATAAAAGAGCTAGGGTCTAGAGTAGAATACAATTAAGAGAACCAAAAATCAGAAAACGGATAAAATTACAGAACAAACATTCTGCGATTTTATGGTCTCTCACAGATCAGATCACGAAGAGACATAACAGATCACAGAGTTCGACGAAGCTCCAGCCTTCTTCAATGTTCGGTATTGGTTTATTTCTACAAAACGATACTGAAACAGATTGAACTATAAAACACCAAATTAATGTAGTATGGACGACGCGGACATCGCATAAGATAAAAGAGGTGCCGCCATTTTGCTGTTTCATGTGTGTCTTGGGGATTCAACTAAAACTAAAGGAATATTATTATAAAAGCCTGATCCAACAATACAATTAAAACTAAAGAAACATTATTATAAAAGCCTGATCTAGCTCACTATTGTTTATTGAAGAGTTTCTCCTGAAAGGTTATTGATGATGACGTGAAGATGCGCATATATAAATAAGAGAGAGACTGTTGTTAAGGGTCGATGTTTGTTGTGATAAAGATTTATTAAATTAAGAACGGTGAAATCATCATTGGCGTTAATTTCAAAATTCTTGTGATACATCACAAGTATTCGGTCAATCACAAGAATTTTGAAAATAGCGCCAAAGATAATTTTATCTTGTTATCGATATGCCTTAATATGCATTGAATATTTTGAGTTAGAAATGTTTAGCAAAAGAAAGTGAATGGTTACAAAGTTAAAGGAAGAACTAGAACAAGAGAAAAATAGAGAGTGTCTCTGTTAAAGAATATACAGAAAAATTGTATAATTTATATGTAATAATTATAATTAACACAATTAATGATGGTATACTTGGGGCTGATTCTATAGTCCGAAGAGGCAGTTGATTTACCTTATCATAAGAGTCTGTATTCCAGATATATGTATTGTAATATGTTTTAATGTTCTTAAAACTATTTTCTATAAAGTTATCATATTTTCTTACTGTATAATTACACGTTAATTAATACATCTATTTAATTGAAATGTTATAGTAAGCTATAACTATAGTATAACTCCGAGAGATGGCGTTACGCTCGCCATCCGCCGCGTTGAATTCAAATCATTCAACAAAATATGCGTATAGCGGTTGACAGGCCTCTATTTACTGTATTTTGGATTACAGTACAAAGTAAGTAGTAAACTTTTAACGAGATATTTATTCATTAATATAGTTTTTAATTATAATATAATTTATAATACTCATTAAGTTATATTAACATATAAAATTGCCGAAAACTCGTTAATTATATAAATTTTATAAAATAATTATGTGAATCAATTATATAAATCTAAACTCATACCATCATTATTTTACTTTAAGAAGCTACTATTCTGATATATTTTAAAACATATATGCATTATTCGAATATCTACTATAGCGTTCTAGCGTTGGCGTAGCACTATTTCGTAGACCCTCTACGATAATCCATTAGGAAATAAATAATATATTTTGTTACATTATTAAATAATAATTGGTAAATTATATTAATTAATTCACATTTAGATAATAATAAATAACATGTTTTTTTTATAGAAATACTGATAAATTGTTTAAAACTATTATATTCGTAGAATTTTGAAATATTTTCAATGCGATTATTTTGTAATTTATTTTGTTGACGCTAGTAAGTAAAACAATATTTATTGTATAAATAGCATAAATATTAGACTAATTAAAATTAGTAGACAGCTTACAAGCGTTTAGAGGGTAGTAGCGGTATAACAGAGCTGATTAATGGTGCTACGAGCACATCCGGCTGCAGTCCGTAACACGCGGCCGTAACTCCAAAACGTAATAAATCGAAACTCCAAACAATCCTGTTACTATGCTAATTCTATCACTGAAAACACTTCGACTTACCGGCAGCAATTTCTGGTATTGCAGCGCAGTAACTTTATCACGGACTTGGCACGATCCCACTTAGTCGCACGGAACACAAAATCACAAGTCACAAAAAATTTGTTCACTATAGGTCATCCCTGTACACGCATGTGCGTTGCAGGCGGGCACTCATTCACGGCACTAACACTATAGGGTTACACCAGTTCTTTTTTGGGCACTTGTGACCGTGACAGGCGTTCTCTCACGCGACGCAGCCTCAACTGGCTGGGGCGACGCCAACGCGCGTGTCCTTAACCCCCCACGCCTCTACCCCGCTTACCTCACAGTACGAGCAAATAGAAATAAAGTATGCGCTGTAAGGACAGGGAATGTAGAAGAAAAAACGAATCTAGGTGCCTGCGGGGTTAGTTAGATGTTTCCAAGTCTTGTAACGGTTCTTTTATAAAGTTATAGGTTTGGTAATTGCTAAATTGAAACTTGTAGTACTTTAAGATAGCTTTGCAAAAATTCTATTCCCCACGTATATATTTTTTTGATGTATGCCTTCGTATATATAAATATTTCGTTACGTAGGCTACGTAGACGAATGACGGTTCCTGATTTTTATTGCGGAGTGGTATTCGGTACTTTTAGTTTAGTTAATACTGCATTAAGTGCAGTGGATCTATGATATTACTAAATACATACTTGGGTATTTTATCGTTTGCAGATAAAACATACTTCCTAGGAATATTTACGAATTCTTCGTCCACTAAAGTTTGTTTGTAATTATCACAACCTTGACCACTTCGATGACGTCTAATGAAGTTATCTTGATCAGTATTATTAATTGTTACTTAATTAATAGTTACTCAAATAACTGTTACCTGTATCTTTCCAAGTTCCTTCACGCCTATGTGTTATTCATATTCATAGATCTTATGAATTATCATACCATATTTTATAATTGTAAATAAAAAAATATTTATATAAAATATGGTAATATACACGTAGAACTAACCTAATTTCGTAACATTTCTAAGTACAAGCCCTAGTAATAGTAGAAGCAAATTATACGTATCTAACGATACATACGTAAATAATACGTATAGCTATAAAGGCTGCCTAGGATCTGAATAGATGTTTCTTATTTATAAACGCACTCGAACCTTTTTTTTCTATTTGTCAGCCCTAATAGTATTAGAATAATTTGCTTTATGTATAGATAAAAATGTTTACGGTTCCGTCAGTATTATGACTGAAATGGAAACGTAATAATCAAATTAATCCGGGAGATGTAGGGTCACGCTCTGTCACGTTGGATCCAAATATTCAAAGCAAAATTTGGATATGTCAAATGTTTGTTACCATAACGCCGACATTTGACAATATCTGTGACTATACTATCTAAGATATTGTTGAGACTGAGAGACAGTTGTTAATACATTTTGAGTTTATAGGAAACTGCAGTTGATAGGAAACAGTAAATTCATAACATCTGCGTCTGTGTTCAAATGTATACTATATATTTAATATAGTTTGATATTAATATAATAAAAAATATATCTTGCAAAGCACAACAACAACTTTGTACAAAGCAACCATCTGGAAGTTTTTTTTTCTCTCTGTGAATTATCTCTGACATCTTCCTAGTCTCTACTATATTACGTATCATAATTACAGATATAAAAAAATAAATAGGATTTTCTTTTTCATTAACTGAATTAACATTATTCCAGAGTGATATATGCCATATTATTTTATCAATGTGTAGTTCAGAAACGTTATGGGTACCCGAGTGAAGTAATTAATAAAAAACCAGAAACCTCGTAACACATGCTGCCTACGAATCCTTATAATAATATCTCATTAATTATAATATTATATTTCAAATTTTCATAGAAATTCGTTAAAAATAATCTCTGTCTGAAATGTGTCGTACAAAGTAAACCTATTAGACTATGAAACATTGAAAATTAAATTAGTCGAGTATAGTAGTTTTGAATTTCGGGGACATAATTAATACTTTACGTATATTCATCTTTTCCTTTGTATAATTTCTTAGTAACGATAGAGACCGTTATTATAAGCTTATTAAAAACTATTTAATTACTTAAAATGTCAGTTATAATTAATATATTAATGAAGTCGATATTTTTGTTAGGTAGTTATTACTATTCCTGCTCCTACTATTGCTGTAACAACATATTTATTTATAAATCATAAAACTCTTATTTTTTATCAGTTGTTTAAATGTTTAATCATTCATTATCGATCAACAATATACCAATGTAATTGTATTAATTTGCTAAATTAAATTAATATAAACAAATTAATATATATATTAATATCATATTATTATAAATTTTATATTTTTTTCAGCACAGAATTATGTGTAAATATTAATGAATAATTATATTAACAGCAGCATAAAACTGTGTGGCAATTTAAAAAAAAAACAGCATCATTTCGAATGTAAGTGAAAATACTGTTTCACTGATAATTATTTAATTACTCGTTAGATTATGAAGGGTACGGTATTGATTGAGTACCGTTTGTTGAAGTAATTTCAGTTGAAAATTTTGTAATAAACCTTTGAAACCGCTTTAGTATTAACCTTGAACGATGAATAAGCAACTCGATTCGACCTAATGCTCTACAATGCTCGACCTACATACCTATATCATAAAGATCAAATTGAACAGTCTTTGATGAGTATACACGAATACATACGTGAATTTTATTTTACATATTTTATAAAATATCTGTAATGGATGTAACCTGTGTTTTAGTATTTGTAATCGAAATCAAAAAGGAGATTCTGAGTTCGACTGTACTCTTTAAGTCAATTGCGTTCAAACAACGTTAGATTGTTCTGTTTTGCTACTTATCGAACTCTTGAATAGTACATCTGCAATAAATTTTGTGACTTTTGAAAGAACTATAAAATTATAATCCAAATAAAGGGTTCACTATTGGTTAGGTTTCAAAACAATGTTAAGAAACTAGATTTCAATTCAGAAAGCAATATTATATTAGACTGAATCTGTATGTTTTATATATGTATATAAAATTTGAAAATGACTAATAGAATAACATAGGTTACATTTATATGATACACAGTGTAATACCAATATAACACACGCATAGAATAATTACTTTTGTACTGGATGAGGTCAGAAATATTGCTGACTGTCAATGTCTTGAACTCTTATTTTTCCACATATCCCTAGGTATATTTGAGGGGACGAGCCTTCCATTATCTCTAGGATTAATTTTTGGTTTTTTAATCAGTATAAGTTTTTTTTATGTGGGTCAGATCTAAACTGTGATCTAAACTACCTCTTGGATGCATGTTGGGATAAAAAAGCGCTAAGCCGTGACCCGTGACTATTTAAATAAAATGTTGGAAAAATACGAAATGAGGTATCTCAGCGTAAGTTACCCACTGTTTTCTCGACTAATGTGATTACATGGGTATGGGTTGCCCTCCGTTTTATTTCCCGAATGCATTAATGAAACCCTCAAGACAAGGGACAAATTAAGTCGGTTGCAAAAGGGCTTGAAACGTAAACGCAGCTATTGTTGTTTACACAATTCTCCCACTCATGTGGGATGACATATGGGATGAGGACTAAATGTTTATGTTATAATTTAAGGTTATGCTGAACAAAAGAAACGATTGTATTTACGTAGAATAAAATTATATCTGTTTGTGTATTAATGCTTCATGAGAAAACCGATGGAAGTAGTGGGATGATATTTTTATAGAATATGTTTATGAATATAGGTTACAGACCATATCGCAAGTTAAGATAAATACCTCACAAAAATATTGTAATAATTATTTCTAATAATATATAATAATAATATACATTCCATCTAGTTGTAGATGTATGAGCACGAATCTGCAAACATATATATTTATTGTTTTATTATCTTCACATAAATTAATAAACTTTGTTACATGTGTATATTTCAAAACTAAATAAATGCATGTATACAGTTTAAAAAAAGAGATGCATAAGAAATACTTTGGAATGTTGGTAGTAAACACAGTAAAATTTAAAATATTCTTATGTTTAAATTCTGTTAAAAAAATTCACGTATATTTTTCTTTGATAAATATTGCTGGATTGTAAATTAAATATTTCACCGACATTAGACTTCTCGTTTAATTCACGCATTAAACATTAATGATAATATTTTTTTGTTAATATCGAGGTAAATGTTATTTAAAGTTTTACCTTAATATGTTAACTTTTTAAAATTTCCCAGTTATTTTTAAGTTAGTAAGCGTCTAAAAGCGAGTGTCACAAATTAATAGTAATAATAATATACGTGAACAATTCACACAGCGCAATGTAGTAGCTGAGCAGAGTATACAAATATATGTACTCTACGAGGAATCTAACCCACGTGTCCATAGTGTTGTATGTACAACACTACAGACACGTGGGATAGTCGCTTATATACAGTGTATATAAGCGACGGTTACCACAAAACATAAGGCGGGTCATCAGCTTGTTTGCTATAATTATTATATATCATTAAATTAATACGTGAAGCAAAAACTTTTAGCACAGATAGAGAAGTATGAAATTTCGCACATTTATAGTTTATATAGAAAAGTCCAGAATATTAATATTTTCTTATAAATTATAAATAAAAATACATTAAACAAAAACTTTACGCATACTACCATATATTCGACACACACGAATAGAAGTATATCGTCTTTATTAATAGAACCTTAATAATGTTGAAACCTATAATTTCAATTAGTTCTGCTCGAATTTCGACCATTGGGCGTATATATAACTGTTCCACTTTCCACCTAGTGACCGTCAGCTGGTTTCTCATTATTTGTCACATAAAAATAAACACACCTACACAACAATGTGGGTGTACACTATTACGCATCTAACAACGTTATTGTTTCCTTATGTTACGTTATTATTTATATAATAATTACTTCAAAACAAAAGGACTGTTGACATTTATCCTTATCACAAGTTTCTGTATATTAAGTTTCATTGTTATTACTGGAATCCAATTTTTTAATATACCGACTATAAATATTATCTTTTGTTTTATTTTTAATGGAAAAATACAATAAATACTTAATTCGTCAATTTTAAAAATTATTTTAATGATAGGGAGTAATATTGGACGCATATGACGCAGGTAGATCCGTGGAATACGGCTATGGATTATTGTAATAAACAATTGAGTATAACTAAAAACCGAAAAAAGTAATTTCTAT